CTATTGGTATTGACTCTCTCTCTCTCTCTCGACTGTTGTCTCTTTTCATTAAGTTAGTTATCAATAAAATTTAGAGAAACAGGGCTTAAATGTTGGCAAAACTATATACTCTCTTACATCCAAACACACGTATAGTATATATGGTTGACATGTATTTTCCATTAGAGTATATTTACTGTAATAGTATCTTATATTTCATCGCTAAAAGCAAATCATAAAACATTAACACAAATTGTGTCACAATTTTGTTGGTTTAAAATTTTAAAATCCATTCAAGATTTTATATAAATTTAGTTTAACAATAGAAAAATATAATCAATGAAAATAACAATGTTGGTTACTTGATTAAAAAAATTAATCAAATTATTACATTTGTTAAATTATATTCATTAATTATCTTTACTATTAAGTAAATCTATATATGCACTGAAATCACATTAAATACTAAAATATCTTTTGTTTTTATATTAATAATAAATTTAATACAAGAGATATTGTAATTTTAAGCCATGAAATATGTAATGCATTTTAAATGAATATTACATTAACTTGTTTTGCATTTATGAGAGTCTGAGAGAGAGAGAGAGAGAGAGAGAGAGAGGATGAAGAGGCGGAAAAGTGGAAAAGTAGGGAAAATCTGTATTAATTTATTTATATCAAAAGTTTTCCCGAAGGCATTCAATTCATGACATATTAATGGCATTTCTTTTACAATATACGTATATTTTCTATACATATGACTATTACTCGATATATACAAATGCATTTAGAGTACAGTATAGTTAGGGATAGATATTCATCACATCATAGAAAGTACAGTAACTCTATGTATACATCATATAAATCATCATTTTTATTCACGAAAAAATTTCATGAATATAATTTTAAAGTATTACGTTTAGATCATTTAAATATTTATGATGTTAGGAGTTACATAAACATTGTAACCACCATCATTAAAATAGTCTCATTCACTCATAATATATTTAAATACAATTAACTTTCATATATTAACTGTAATATTGGTTACCCTACTCTCCATTTGCTTTTATATCGTTATAAAAATCTGATAAAATTCTTAATGGATTTTCAAATTAATAATACAACAACAAAAACTTTTAACTTTTAAGAATATTATCACTGATATTCTGTACAGAGATTTGATTTTATATTGTGATAAAAAAGATCATTAATTTTCAAAAAGTTAATTTAATGACTCCGGTATACAAGTCTCACATAATATAGATTATATATTAAAAGTCAATTACGTCAACAAAAAGAAAACTTTACACGTAAACAGCATAATTAATTTAGCTTTATTTAAATATACGATAAAACTAACATGATAAATTACACAACTTAATTACTAAAGATATCTCTACCGATCACGATAACTGTATTAAATCCAAAATATTCAAACTCGATAAATATAATAGTTAATAAAAAGCATCATAAGCACAACGACCATGATTGCATTGATGGACATACCGTGCCGGTAGTATTGCTGATCATTTGTACGATGGCTACACCCATATTACAGCGAATGCCAAAACTGATTAAAAAGCCGATTGAACTGAGAAAGGCTATTGTGTAGCGTTTGGTCATATTGGGAAAACAGGGACAATTGGGTTCCATGCATTTCTCCCACCGCTCGCCCTTCCCTTTGAACATCTTATGGCCGCCATAATAGCCATCGTTGGTCAGCGCGTCCTGAGTGGCGAACTGGGCGTCTTTCGATTCACCTAGTTTGCTGGTTGATTTACAAATTGATACAAGGTTAATTTTATATTATGATTAACTCATATTGCCACAATTATATAGTAGATTAGTAAACTAAAGTTTTATGTACATTTATTATTATTTATAATATTTATAAATCTTAGTTATAATTGTATAATAGTAATAGTATTTATAGTATAGATATAATCGTATTAGTCTAGTTTATTTTAGATATGTGCATAAATGTTTACCATAATAAATATTTGATAGATTATAAGTGATATAAATCTGTAGTGATATTTCAGTTAATACTTAATAAAGTGATTTATTAAATGATCTTATGATCAGTCAATATTATCCGTTTATTTTGCAAATCAATAATCATTTTACGCTAAATCTCTCTCTCTCTCTCTCTAAATATATTCAATACATTTTACTTTTGATTTAAATACAATTTACTATTATATATAAATCTCAACATTAATTTCCATTAAAGAATTTAAAGATAAAATCTAATTTACATTATTTATCATTGTATTATATTTCATTGCTTTTTAAAAATAAATTACATTTTCGTTTTTGCAGACATTTTTATATAAATGAACATATCTTACAGAATAGGATAATTTACTATCTCAAGAATTGTACATAGATTTATAAATATAAATTACATTATAATAAATTACGTCAAAATAATGTCCACTTAATATCTAAATTTTGTTATCTCTATTTTGTTATCTCTATTTGTAATAAATTTGTAATTTTCTTTAATAATTAATCAATTTTATATTATATAAAAACAACAAAACGATTTATTCAAAAATATAATACCCAATAAAAACATTGCTATTTATTTTGAAAATGGCTAAATTATATCACGATCTAAAGTATATATACACAGAATATTCTGTGATATATATACGTATAGTGTATATATGTTTTAATATGGAGATTGAATGGGGAGAAAAAAATCTGAAGCAAACTTTTGTATCTATAGATAGATATAAATACAGAGACCTTAAGTCTCATGTAATCCTACGGTTTTTGTGGACAGAATTGACAATATATTGAAATATATTGTGTTTTTTTGTTGCTATTGTCAGACAATCGCCTGTTATATTGTATGCCGTGTTTTTGTGTGGAATAGAGTGAACAAAAATAATACACAATAAAAAAACTTTTCCGGATTTTATATCTGTTGTCATTGGATATACAAAATGTTTGAGATGTTATTAAAAATCTTGTATTTGTTATTGTATAATAACTGTATATTATATTTTATTTTGTGTTTACAATATATAAATAAATAATAACTTTTGAGCAAGTTATAAATTTTAATTTGATATATACATTTTATTTATTTATAATCAGATCCAGGAATCAGATACTACTCTTGATTTATATTTAAATTTTTTAATTTTGACCTGGATATAATGTACATTTTAATATTGAATTTTATTTAAATTTTACAAAATATAATTATATATTTTAAATATATGTATATCTTCTAAATATTATAAATATTTAATATAAAATTAACTAGTGTTATAAAATATTAACTACTTAAATAATTGTTCAATACTGTGTTATTTAAATTAAAACTTAACTAAAATTAATTTTAAAAATGTAGATATTTTGCCATCTCCATTTTCATTAAACAATTTACTGTAATATAACTCTAATTAATTAAATTTATCATAATTACAGTTTGTTCAAAGCATTGATAAGACGTGTTATTCACACATTCCTAATAATTTCTTAATAATTATAGCAATTATTATATAATAATAGATTGAGTGACGGATAGAAAGCCAGACATTTAACAATTAATTTGTGACGAAAGACACGACAAGTTGTGTCAGATATACTGTATATCTATTGACTCTTTGCACACACTTTAGGCTAAAATATAATCTATTTTTTGCGCAAATATTCATATTAATAGAAAAAACTTAATTAAATTATCGCATCCTTACAATAGACATATCAAGAAATTGTTAAATAATTGATTAGTTATCTAGTGTTGTAATTGATGGGAATATTCTTGGTAAAATGTGTTGTAAAACTATTAATATTCTTCAAATTGTATTTATAGAATATTTCCCGTAATATCCTTAGAAATTGCTCCCACACATTACCCGACGCGAAAAGTTATCACACAAAAAACTAATAACAATCTATAAATATATAATTATAAATACTCTATTGTATATCCGATCAAGTTTTTCTAATAATAATTTATTATTAGTAAATCTAGTAATAAAAATGTCAATCATTTTAGGCTTAATGGAAAAAGTCTAACGGATATTGCTAAATATTTTATTTCAATAACGTTTTTATATAATTTTATATTAATATATTGCAATTTTATTAATTTAAGTAAAGATTTATTTTATATTAAAATTTAATGCAAACATAATTAAATTAAATAGCAAGGTTGATTATTATACCTAATAAGGTCCGGGGCATCGCCTCTATTTTGAAACTTATCATATGATTCGTTGTCCGTCTCGTCAAACAGACGCCTAGAGTTTAAAATAATTACATTATTAATTAAATTCATTTAATATATTATAGTAAATATATGTATAACTTAATTTAGTTTGTATAATTTATTTAAATTTGTTATATATTGATTTAATTTAATAAAAGAATTTAGCATATTTTAAATTGTACATGTTATATTTTTAACAATTTATACTGATTTAATTGGATTAATTAAATAAAAATGTATATGATACAATAACAGTAAATAATCTATTAAATTTTTATTTTGGTGTAAATTATTAAATAAAATATTATACACTTTTATTAATTACATTTCTAAATAATTATTTTAATTTAATTAACAGTGATTTAATATTTTACCATTAAAAATCTTAAGGTAGATTTAATAGGTACTACTACAACTATGTACGTGTATATGTATACTATGTGTATATATATAATTTAATTATTTTTATAAAATAATCCGATTATGTTTATTTAAAAAACTGTCTATTTATAAATTAATCATATTTTAATCAATATTTATGTTTGTTACATTATTAAATAACTCTTTATCGTCTCTCTCTCTCTCTCTCTC